GGCAGCCCCACAGATCCTGTTCTCAGCCAGGATTAGACCACGCAGCCCTCCGGGAAAGTCTGGCACACAGAGCAAATATTTCCTAGCTTACAATAACACACGATCTTACACGGTTCTCTGTCTCTGAAGTGAAGGGGATGAACAAACACCAAACTGTTTGAATAATATTGATGAACCCAGATTTCAGTTAGAGGGAATTCATGTTAGACCAATTAAATAGTATGTCAATTCCCTCTAATTATATGTTCCTGCAGCCTACCCGGTAATTATACTTAATGGGTCTAAATCAAATCAGCATGTTACCTGAGAAATAATTGGATTTGCGTGCAATTTTTTAACGATCCTGAAAGGTACCCTGGAGATTGAAGTCCTCTCTTTGTTCAGGGACTGATCCTAGGCTTCAGTGTGCTTTGGAGGTCGGTCTCAGGCTACGCTGGCCCTGATAAATTAAATGTGCCAGTCCTTTGGCACTGAGGCCAACTGGCATGGGACAGCCCACATTCATATTGTGCTTTTGAACATCTTCCCAAAGGTTGGTGCATATTGGAAACTAAGGTCCATATGCTATGGGAAAAGAAAACAAAGCTAAGCCTCTATATGCTTTGATGAACCTTGGCCCTCAAATCACATAGCAGCAATAAATAAGTCTCACTTGCCCCAAACTGAGACAGAATAGAGCATTTTATTGATTAGTTCTGATCTCCTTCAACATTGTGTACCTTAAAATTAAAAGTATACACACACACATAGTGTATTTATTTATAGACACAGAGAGCACTCAGGACTGCCAAACATCTGATACTTAAAAGCAGTCCCACGCTCATATCTTAGTCCTGTACGTGCAAGATGAGTGTCCACTGGGCCCCAGATCTAACCACTGGATCAGAGGGGACCACAATTAGCACAAGACTTCCCCAGAGTACACAAGCCATTGAATTAAGCAAACACTTCTTTGAAATATTTATTTGAATTTCTAGAGGAGGTGAACTCCAGTGCTTCAGCACCAAAGCTCTGCAGGAGCCATCCCAGCTTCCAGCGAAAGCAGTCTCAGAGCAGTTAGTACAGCAGAGGTTGCTCTGATCGCCCTGGTCCCTGGAGCCCCACCATTTGGAAAACCTGGGGCTTTCAGTTTCAGCATGACTTGCTGTTCTCATTTCCTTGGAATTCTGCCCAGGAGAAACCAAAATAGCACCTTGCCTTCTGAGTGAACCCCATCCAGCCAGTGAGCATCGAAACCACTAGATTTCAAACGCAACATAATGTCAGAGAGGCATAACTGCAGTGACAGTGGCTGGAGGGAATGACTGCACCATCCAGTTATTCTTCAGCAAAGGTACAAGTAAATGCCACTAACTTCAGTTTTGCTTTCTTTCAAGAAAGTCTTTCTTTTTAGATAACTACCTCTATTCAGGGGCCTTTTGAGGCTCCAGCATGGCTCTGAGAGTAGCAGGGCTTGGGCATCCCTATATTATGTCAAAGATGTCCTGTCCAAACTCTGCAGATCACTTCCCAAAGTGCCTCTCATACCTGTATATATAGGGAAACTCGCATTCATTCTACTAGGCAGGCACTTAACCAAGGCACCTCCTTCAGTATGGTCACACCAGGCTGCCTCGATAGGCAAAGGAAATAAATAGAAGTTTCTAGAAAAAAAATCAGACCTGTCATGTCTACTGCTAGGAAGGACAAATTCAGGAAAGGAAACATAACCCCAAAAAACTGCATTTGTCTTTTGATAAAGTTATGGATCAAACCTTGTGCCAGGCAGTGAGCTCTTGACAAGGACTCTTTGGTGCTCTTCATGTGTGGTCAGACGTTCTGGAGCAGATCAATAGTCATAGGACCACAACGTTTGGGATCAACTCTTAAGAAGGAAGGTCTTGCATTGGATTCATTTACAGCTCATAAACTATACTCCAGTACTTAATACTTTTAAAAGCCCACCAAAATTTCTCATGGTCCTGTATTTTACATTCTATGGATCCATCTTTCTTCAGTTCTCTCATTAACCTTCTCCCTACAGCAGGGTGAAAAGGCTTCCCAAACAGTCACCAAACTCACATGAGATTCTGTTTCTGAGACTCAAAATTAACATCTTGAATCACCAAGGAAAGGTTGACCATGTCCTGGTATCTCTGTGCAAGGCTAATCCTCGCATATTTCAAACCTCGCTATTAATCCAGTGAGTTCTCATTAAAAGTTTGCTCAGTGACTAAGAAACAATAATTTGTGTCAGTTTTCACCCTGTTTCACCCTGCAAAATTGGAGCTGCCTGGAAAACGTCTTTGGGAAATGTTTCCAAGCAGCTTCCCCTGCTCTCTTTCAGGAAAATTACTTGCATGTGCACACACAGACTCCTCCTTTTCTAGCATATCTGTAATTAGCAAAGAATGCCAAGCCATAAATATTTATGCACAGATGTGATCCTGAAGTACCTTCAGAAGTTCAGCACAGGCCTCAATAGTCAGATTTCTCCAGCGAGCTTTGATACAAAACCTGCAGATTTCAGAGGACTTGTCAGAACACCCCGCTAATCACCCCTCTCTCAGGGATGTGTTTCTCACCCAACAAGGGATGTTACAATCACTTGTGAAAACCCCACACAAAATGCAGGTGCTTCATTACCTACTTTTCATTTGAATTCCTCACAGATCTTGCCAGATCCCTTCACTTCATTAGCACAGGTCTCTGCGTGCAAAAAGTCTTCCATGCTGCTGGCAGAGTCAGGACGTTTCTGCTTTTGTTACAAACCTTTGCTAAAATCAGGTATGTTTTTCTTTCTTGTGAAAACTTTTTTTTATTTCTTCCCCCAAATTTTTGCTGATGTGATGCTGGAACCATGTCAGTTATGTCATCTAAAAAGCTTGGGATTAGGCTGCCTTGAAATGCCATGTCCAGACTGTTAATTCGAATAGAGTCAGGGCCTGGTCTAAAATCCATTGGCACAGTTTGGCCACTGTCAAACCCTATCCATCCCCAAACTAACTTGTCTGCTTTCCAAAGAGCTGATGGAGAACGACACCCAGGCCATGCTGACTCCTTGCATGGGACCAGGAATTGGCCATGAGGATGCTGGTTTTCCTGGGCAAAAGATGCACCAGACCTACTCCACAGTGTGCACGATTGCACTCCCAGTATCCATGTGCTGGTCCCATTTAATTTAAACACAGCTAGTGAGATCACGCAAACACAGGTTAACATTTCCCAGCCTGACCTGGGAGCAATTAAAAGCTGCCTTATGGCACGGCATGAGCAGATGAGCTTCCTGTTGCACCACCATCTTCAGCGCTTGCCTTAGGCACCCAGATCTGAAGTTTTTCCCTGTGCAAAGAGGTCTTGCTCCTCTGGAGGGGCAGACAGAGAGGGGACAGGTCCCATTAGCCCACTGGGATGGGAAGGCAGCTGCAGATGGGAACAGGAGCAGCCCACCCACGGCTGACAGCGTGAGCTCAGCGTTGGCAAAGGCTTTCGCTGGCACCTGCAAAAACAATCTGCAACTGGGGCTGCCAGCACGGAGGAAGGAGCCGGTGCAGCAGCATCCCAAGTGAGGCAGCGTGCAAGGGGGAGAGAGGATACACTCCACACCCGAGGGGCTATGTTACACTGAAAATAAAGGTGGAAGGGAACAAAAAGTCCCAAGAGGCCTCTCTGGTCAGTATTAGTAAGAAAACACTTTGGTTTCACCAGAGCAAACAGATTCAATAGTGAGATACTTACTTGGCCTGCACTTGTACCACACGATGAGGTACTTGCCGGTTCCAGGGCACGGGTCTGCACCGAACAGCCGGCTGTTGACGAGAAACTGGCAGCTCCGCCTGTCCTGGCACTCATCCAGCATCTTCTGCAGCCAGGGATGCACAGACACACACAAGAGACAGAAAAACAAAAGCACTTCAGTATCTCCACCAAAGGGATCATCAAATAGAGACAGATTTGAGAACAGCAAGGCCACCCTTGCCTCCTCAACTGGCAATGGCATGAGACAGGCAGTGGTGCTCAGTGGAGTGGGTACCAGAGGAGCCATGGGCTGGGAGGGGACTAAACCTTGCACTGTTTTAAGGAGTGTGATCTCCTTCCCTTTCATGCGTGCACAAGGAGAGATTTGCACTGGGACGGTCACAGAGATTTTGAAACATTTGTCTGAAATTTAATTATAGAATAAGGCATATCTGCTCCAGAAAAAGCAGCTTGAGGACATGGATCAGCCTTGACACTTAAAAGCAGAGACCCAAACTCTGCCACCACCATTCTGCTTTAGATTCCTCTGGAGATGCACGATTTCAACCACAACTTTCAAGAGAGCTCTTGCCTTGGTTACATAAAAGCTTTGGCAATTGCTGGTACTCCAATAATTAGTAGTTGTGGTGGGAACACTTATACAGCCAACTTGGTTTTTAATAGGGCTCTCTCCTCTTCCCCCATGACTAGCACATTCCTTTCATCTAAACTCAGCAAGGGCCTGTGAGTTGGAGGGTCCTCCCACCACAGGCATTTTGGGTCCTATCCCCTTTTCCACACTGCTTTTTCTCTAGTGTTCACTCCCCACTTCCCCATTCATAACACTCATAAAAACTCCATCTCAGAATCCACAGGGGCAAGACATTCTGTCTCCTGCTAGAAAATAGCTTCATTAAGGAAGATTAATGATTTCTTTTAACCCTATGATCCTCAAAAGCAGAAGTGGGGGGAGGGAATATTATTAAGTGGGGCAGTAATTAAGTTTTAAATTCAGCTGGATGGCTTAGGTGGTATTTATGTACTCCTGTAGAGCCCCTAAAGCGCTAAAATTACCATAATGTTTGCCTGACACACATGAACCTGTCAGAGCATTTTGAGACCACAGAGCTAGGTAATCCACCAGCCTCACTAAGTCCCTGCGATGCAGAGCTGTGAATTCCAGTCCCAAAACAATTAATTTTCACTTGCAAGGAGGCACTGGAAAATCCTTTCTCAGAAATTCCCCTAGACTCCCCCGGCCTCTTTTGTTTTCTCTCTGTTCCCTTTTCTTACACCCAGCTCGATATTTGGGCTTTCCCACAATCTTATCCCTGTGCCATTAACATAGAGGCTGTTCCTTCCCAACACACACCACCCAAACCAATTTTCTCTTTACCTCAGAGACTGCTTTCTATTTTTGAGTTCTCCCTGAACATAATACATCTAATCTTTAGCATTATAACACTGAATGTCACCCTCTGAACAACAGCTGTTCCAGTTTCAAGTGCAATTTGAAACTGCCTCATTTGAGGTTGCTCATAACTTCCTAAAGCTTTCACCTTTTGGGCTGACACATGGAAGAATTCATGCCTGCCTCAAGCCTGACCTTTATTTTAAAGTTCAAACCAAGATGATTCAGGCCTTTCCTAGCGAGCAGAGAACATATGCTGCTGTTTTCCACTTACAAAGGTAATAAAATGCAGGCATCTCATTTCAAAATACAGGGCTTAGGATGGAAAGGCTGAAAGATGAACACTGAAGGAGGTGTCTGGCAGTGTTAGCCCCAACTTGAGTGTCACATTAAAATGCATAGAAACAGCATAATCTTTCCTCTAGGCTCATAAGGGTCAACTGCTCACTCAGCATGTGAAATTTAATTTAATGCAAAATCCAATGAGTTGCAAAGGAGTTTAAGCGAGGCCTCTATGCAGATACCTCTTCCAATCTCACAAGGCAACGAACAACTGGAGCAACTCTTGAGTGATTCACATATGGAGAGAAATCCTCTCCAAATCACTGCAGACCTATTTGCTCGTACTGTAGAGCCGCAGCTGTGTTTACACCCAAGCAGTGCTAAGAATATGGAGCAAAGGGAAAGAAGCAGCACCCTGAAAGTTTTCTTTCCCACAAGGGACAGTTTCTCCCCTCAAAAGCAGCAGACTCAGGTTTTGGTCAACAAACCTGTTCATGGGTGGGATTTTCATAAGCCTTCAGCATTGCATAAAAGGTGCTATTAAAACCAGCAGGAGAACCACATTGGGTTTCAGCAGAGATTGAGTTAAGCCAACAAGAAGCCTCTTTGAAAACCTCAGCTTCAATGTCTAAGCAGCGCTTGTTCATCTGTCCTTAGGCGCAGCATCAGGAGCGAAGGCGATTACTTACCAACCTCAGAGAACAATGAACATGGGCAGCCTTCATGTCTTTCCACTTCGTCTGGTTCTGCTCTAACCTTTGGCAGCTCTTGCTTACTCCACGTAAGAGAAACCTCCCAAGTTTACTTTCTGCAGTATACAAAGTAACACAGAGGCCTAGGGAGAAGTTTGTACCCAAATTAAGGAGAAAAAGTCATCTATGCCATTGTGAGACCATAGAAAATGGGAAGTGAGGATGAATATGCCTTCTGCTAATCAGCTTTAGTGTTTAGCTACAGTTTCAACTTAATTTGATAACAGCCATAACTATAAGAAGTTAATTCATGGGGAGAAAGAAATCAGTATTTCCTTTTCATTCATGTAATTCTAATGTGCCTCCCCCTGAAGAGCAACAATTTTCCTGAAAATATAAAAAACTGTTCGGATTTCCGATTTCCTGCAGACTGCTTAAGTCTTAGGCATAATTAAATATATCCATAAAGAGCAAAATAAAAAAATGTGTTCAGTGTTCAGTGAAATACATCAGGAAAAATGCAAGGAGAATTAACAATGGTTACCATGTTAACTTAAAAGCTTGTACATACAATTTTTACCTATCCTTGCATACACAGAAATCATCTTCCCCACTGCTTTCACCAGTGTGTGCTATAACCCAGCATCTTTTTAGATACCGTGCAACACAGCGACTCCACAGAACATGCGTGACAAGATGATCCACTACAGCTACATTTCCCCTGCAGGTCCAGTGCCTCTGGTGCTCACAGGGGCCCTTACAAACCAAGACCTCGGCTTTCTGGTCTTAGTCTCAAAAATCACACTTCTAGGCAGTGTCAGAGCTCTGGCATATGTCAGATGTCATTTCTGAAGTATTTGCTGATGAGCAGCCAGACTGACACCAGGAAGGCTGTGGTTTACTTGGGAGTGAGGGAGTGTCCTAAGCTCATATGGTTTTTGCTTAATGGCTTGAAAAATTTAGACAATTCATTCTACATTTGCCTTGTTTTTCTGGCTGTCACTGTCAGTTGTAAAGGTGGGGAAAAGACAACTGCAAAAAACAAACAAAAGAGGCCTGTGAACAATCTGAACTTGCATAGAAGTAGTTGTAGGCATGCCAAATCATCCCTACCGAGGTATATAATCATCTGTTTATATCATTTTTGTCTGGTAGACCCCTGACTAATGCAAAATAATGTTGCATTGGATTAGATTATATTATAAAAATTACTGCAACTGAAGAAGGTGGAGGAGGAATTCCTGTCTGGCACGAAAGAGGAGGGAAGACACATTAATTGCATTGTGCCATTTTATAATTGCGTTCCAGTGGTAAATCAAGCCTGAGGGCTGACAGCCAGTGCTCAGGAGGGAAGTTGTGGCTGTTTAAACCCATTCCATTCTCTGGTTCATGATTGAGCTAAGAAGCTGAAAGATTTAGAGGAGATAAGAGAGCAAGAAATGTGAATTCAAGTAAAACAAACACTAATCTAACCCCTGTGATTTATGCCCTGGATTAATCTCACAGCGGTGACCCAGGTCTTAAAGCAAGGGCAGCCTCAAGCTCAAAACCACGTCTTTCTAGTGGGCACTGCAGATGAAACACATTTCTCGTGCTCACTTTGTTGTGCTCATTAGCTAAGTAATTGCTTGTGCTCATTAGATAACAACCTTCTAAATCTGGACTTGGATGCGAGCGCTGCAAGGCGGCTGTCCTCAGCCATTCCCAAGGGTGCAAGCATTTTTATTCTGTCTCTTCAAATCACTCTTCAAGAAGCACTTCCCCTGCACGCTTAAAATAAACCACAACTGAGCTTAACACCCAAGGCAATTAAACTTATCTCAGTCCTTAGTCCCGTGTAGTAGTTCACAGATTCAGCATACTTGGGGTGAAACTTTGGACCCATAGAAGCCAATGGTGAAACTCAATGGGAAGTAGGATTTTGCCACAGGGCTGCTCTCTGCACAGCCTCCATCATCAAAGGAACATAAGGATGACTGCAGGGCACATCAGTCAGGCATGAAATTACACAGAGGAACCCCACTAAATAATTGCCCAAATTGTATGTTGCTGAGAATAACTCAGAGAGCAAACTGCATGAATGGATCAGAGCTGTGTGCAGTCAAATGAAGATGGGCAGAGATTTGCACTCAGAATTTTACATAAAAAGATACCACTAATTTTTTAAAAATATGATTAAACATATTTAGGTCAAATTCAGTCCAGATATAGCCATTATGATGAAGTTACACCAACCCCTACGTTTGGTGCACCTCCATGAGTTTTGCCATGAGAAGTAGTAAATACAACATACAAGGCAGCATGAATTCCCCCTACAAAGCCACACAGTGCAATTCATTCATAACGGTTTCATATCATATTTTATTTTAATTTTAACACTGGTTTATATAAGCTTGAATGTTGGCATTACTTTAAAACACACTGTAAGCTTAAAAATTTTAAGTTGCAAATTTATTTACCCTTATATCCCTTTTCCAATTATTTCAAGACTGTGCATTCATCTCCATTCATGCAATTTACCCATGGGAGCAAGAGGATTTTCCAAGGACCAGCAACAAGGAAGGACAGACCACATGAGCAAGGGAAATCCTTGCCTATGGCTTCATCCAGCAACCTTCCCAGCCTGCGCCGCTAGAAAGTAACTCTGCTTTGCCCAAACCGCCACATTCAATCCATGCATCACATGAAGAAGAAGAGCTCAAAGGCCCTGAATCCTGACCGCTGATCTAAGGCAGGATT